GCGCATGGTAAGCGTGCCATTGCCACCACCTCCGCGTTACGTGCAACTTGTGTTTCGATGTACTCTAGCCTCCGCTCATGGAATTCCAAGGAGGGAATTTCGAAAAATGGCGTAGAAGGAGGTTCTGTGAAGAAAAGTAGTAAAAAAATGGTCGTTCGGGCCCTCGAATTTGAGATGGACTCGGTGAGAGAACGGTATTACCTGTGGTCAGTTAGGCAAATAAACGTGGCGTTGCACGAACGAGCGGCTTTTGACGAAGGAACGAAAGCGCGCGAATGACAAAAAGCTGCGATACAAACAGCAAACGGTGATAAGCTGATTAAAATCGCAGGATCGTGGTGACGACCACGTCTCGCTAGAGGCCGTTCTAGTGAACTCAAAAAAGGCATAATTCAAAAATGAGGTCTTTTTTCTCCTACCAAACGCACCGTCTCTAGTTGGCATGGGTATCGGTGGCGTCGTTTCCATTCGAAGTTGTAGTTGGAGCTTGTGTAGTTGTGGTTGGAGCAGCGGTCGATGTAGTTCTCTCCAAGCCAAAAAGCCTGAAATGCTCCTTGGACAAGAAAAACTGTAGCAAATTCAGAGGAAATAATTGTGCTCAGTTCTTGGAGAGCAGTTAAGCAGCGGATTTGCACGATGGAATTCTTTTCATATAAAACTCCAGCGCTAGTATTAATTCAAACTCAGACCGTAGGATAAAGCTCAATGAAGCTTCCACTCCTGATCAACTCCTGGGAAGGGGAGGGGGGTGTGCAAATAGGCGTTTTTGTCCTCCCAGAGAAATATGGTGTCAACTTACCGTTGATGGAGAGAAGAAGTCTTGATTGGCCTGGCCGAAAGTCGATCTAAGATCTTACCTCAGGAGCATTAGATTTCGCATGGAGCAATATGCTGGAGAACTATCTGATTTTTGAAACCACCCACAACCGCCCTATATAGCCTAAAGCACTGAAGCTGGTGCGGTGGCCCCAAGTAAGACTTCAACATGCGCCTCGTGTATGACCCGAAAGCTTCCCCCCATGGATTACTCGTTACGAGGCAGCGTGCAATGCGTGAAAAGGCCGTGCAGCACTTTTTGTTAACCTACGTGAACGGACCTAGATCGAGTGTCGTTGACAGTTCAGCGACAGTTTGAGTGTTCTTCTCTCGTTGGAAAGGTTTTCGTGGTCTCGTCGATGTTACATTGCGCGCGCGGGTAGCCTATGTTACTGGAGCTCCTGCGAGAATGGGTGAGGAGGAGTTGGTCGAAGTCAACAGAAGATCAAAAAAGCAGCACGACACAAAAAGTACGGAAGCGTCCAGACGCGGTAACTACGGATACTCGTGAATAAATGTGACGCTTTGCAGATTGTTGGAAAATAACGAGAATCAAGTTCTATCCCCTACTGGAGTCATTTCCCAATGAGAATTTAACTAGTAAAGGATTTTATTCAGAATCGTAGTGGCCTATACAATGACTTGCAGTGGCCAGCCGATGTACAAGTCATCCTCCCAGACGAATCTGGTACCAATTTACCGTTCCGGAGGGTAGAAGGCTTGGTTGGCCTGGGCGGGAGTCGACCCGGGATTTGAACCCGGCGCCGCGCGAGTGCGCGCCGCTCACTACACCACCTCCGCCAATGATGATCTTAAACTGTCCCATCCAAAAATCAAAAGTCGGTTTGGTTCAAAATGTCAAGAAAGGCGAAGCTATGAACTCTTAGGATCGAAAAGAAAACACTCACCGTAAAATAGTACCGGCAAGATCGCCATCACCCGCTATTGAATTTTCGCCGTAGATATTCTTCCGATTTTCC